GGCAGCCGGCGTACTAATGTTGACGGCTGCGGGCACGGTCTTTCGATTTCTAATGCCGGCCAGTTTTTATTTTTAGCGTTATCTCAAGTAAACAAGCCACAAGGGTTAGGGTTAGGTTAGGATTAGGGTTAGGGTTAGCGTTTAGGGCTAGAGTTAGGGTTTTTGTTAGGTTTCAGCCGGTTAGGGTTAGAGTTATTGGTTAAGAAGCTCGAATTACCGACTCGGCCACCGACGGCAATTTTGCCGCGGGTTGCCCTATTCAATGCGCGTACTGCGCCTGAAATCAAACCCGACCGACGGCGTGACCTGCCTTGCCCTTTCTTGTAATTGCGTCGGTTGGCGCAAGCGGGATTTTGGCTTGGACTCGTTCGCGCCGCATGTTTATCGCAGAGCGTGTACTTGTTGCAGAGAGGTGAGGCGGATACCAGTCTACCTTCTGGTAAAAACAATAACGTGGTATTTGCTGCCAACCGCTGGCCAGTAGCGATTCGATAAATCGTGCAGCCTGTGTATGCCCGTGGTAGAACACGAATATTTAAATTGTTCTGCCGCCGGACTTACGTGCCGCGCGCGATTTAAAGCGCGGCAAACAGGTTCAACGACGCTCGCGCAAGAATGGCCAGTGATCTGTACGGTGTGTTTAGCTTGCTAAGTGCAGTTAAATTCTAGAAAATTTTGTAGAATTCATACGATGACACAAGTTTTGCATAACAATGGCCTTTCGTGCCTTCTCAAGTTGTGAGAGTTGCCTGGATGCCTTTTAAATTGCCTCGGTGCCTCATTTTAGAGAATTCAAGGCAATTTCTCACATGTCCAAAAATTGCCTTGCCTCTCGTCGCTTAATTCGAGGCCTGGCTGCCGGGCCATTAGGAAATCGAAGACCGTGCCCGGCAGCCGTTTCAATATATGCGCGCTGCCGGGATATAGCCTCTGTAGTATTGATATGCCGACCGTACCTGGCCTACTCCACTAACAGTCTAGGAGTTCGCTAGCCTACTCCCTACCGAACCCTATCCTTAAGTCCTATCCTAACCTTACCATATCAATAGTGCCAGGTAGCGTTCTGGTATATACCGGACCGTACCCAGTGTACGTTCCGGCAGTACCCTGGGGGACATAGACCCTATGAGACATAGTGATAGTGTTATTTCAATAATGTAACCCGGTCCCAGGGCGGATTAATACCCCCAGCCTACTCTGTGTTGGGTTGCATTAAATTAAGTATTGACATTGTATGTAATGACTGTCTCTAATGATCTATCATCTAGACGTGATCTAGACGTGATGCGGCCATGATGCCGAGGCGAGCCGAGGATTGACACTTTGTGTACTCCAATCACAGCCTACGCCGCACCTCCTTTTGAAATTTTTATTGGTGGGGTGGGGACCCATCACAGTACCAAATCGCCGATCTCAGGAACTAGGGCATTCTGCTAGGCTAGAACGGTTGCCTACGATAGAGTTTGGCACAAAAACGAAAATAACACGCTGTTTAGCGAACTGCGCTACGTACTTCTGAACATTGCATTTTCGCATCTCCGTAATTAGAATAAGCCCCGCCTTCTTCGTTGGTGGGCAGGAATGGGGGCATCACCGACGTGACCAGTTCCTATACCGACTGTGTTTACTTTTCATAAATAATTAATGACATGCCCGGCCGATGCTAGCTCTAGTACTATATAGCCCGCTTACATTAACTGCCGCTGGCAGCCAGCAGCAGTTAATGTAAGCGGGCTATAGTACTAGGGCTAGGCCGATGCTATAGACTGGTACCCGTTCGCCACCTTCACTCCGGCAAGTATCCTTCGCTACACTGACACTGGTAGTGTAGCTTGTGGAGCTGTCGACCGATATTGTTACAGGTACCAGTCTAGGCCGATGCCAAACTGCATGCAGTGCACCTTCGTACACTCAGGATACTCGTAGATTGAGCTCATGAGCGAGAGCGCCATCTGTCGTGGAGTTTGGGCCGATGCGATGCATTTTCTGCTTTTTCTGCGTGATTATTATTTTGCGCAGGCACGTATACTCATTTTCGAAATCCTCCAACATTTTTACTTCTTCCATTAAGTCCATGTTTCACTGTTATTTAGGAAGGAAGGTAAAACTGTGCATTCGTATAATTTCACTCTTGCTTCTATAGTATGATTTCCATAATTTTGCTCTTCTGCCCATGATAATATTTCCCTCATATAAACCTACATTTTTCAGTTCGGACTCTTATCATATCGTTATAATATATCATTAATTAAATTCTCTAGGTATAAATATTTGGTGCATTTTTTTATGGAAGAACGGTCTTGCTAATCAATTTGTATACACTTGTAATACACTTTGTATACATTTTGTATAGACAATCAGTCGCACAGCCTCGTCGGGCTATCATCTAGTAGACTACCTGAGAGGGTCTATGTCCCCCAGGTTACTGCCGGACCGTACCTCGCCTACTCCACTAACGAGTCTAGGGAGTCGCCTACGCCTACTCCCTAACCCTACGCCTTGACGAGAGAGGGCGCTGGGTGGAGAGAGATTATGGGATGGTTTCCTGGAATCGCGAGGCGCACGTTTTGGAATTAGAAGGAAATGAGAGTAGGCCTTACGGGCAGATGGGTGAAGAAGGTTTGCGTGTATAAGTTGCCAATTTGTTTGTACCTGAGATTGCCGGATACATCCGAGATACTGAGATACTAAGTGAGCTACAGGGCTAGTATGTTCTGAAGGCAAGCGAACTGATATGTATTGAGTTTGAACTGATACGTATTGAGTTTTGACTGAACTGTTACGCATGTATCGAAGCTGATCTGTAGGCTAGACAGTGACTTGCATCGTTGTGAAATCGTGCGCCTGACGGGCGGTTGAAGTAAAGTGCAGAGGTGGTCGATGCATTATGTGAGGTGACTGTGAAGCTAATGTACGTGAATTTGTAGACGGTGTGTTGCTGCAGAACTTTAGACTGGAAAATAAATGATTGAAACTGTATTCGGTGTTATCAGCGTGACTGCAATTGGAACGAGTGAATCACCCACAACATTGTACAAACAAAGGTATATGAATATAGCGAGCTCTAAACTGCGTACGTATATACATGTGCACGTCAAGGAGAGGCTCTGCAGTGCGTGTGCACCGTGGTGCTAATAGTAATAGACGGTATTATGACTGTTGCTGTGTTGTCGTATATTGCTTACTGGTGTGACTAAAACGCAGACAAGCATGAACGGCACAGGGGACGAAAGGGTCCCACCAGGAGATGCCCAAATTGTGAGCTGAACGCACGGATACCATTCCCGATACCTCTCGTGTCGATGATAATGCACGGGAGAGACGTTCAAGTCAGTCAGTTACCGATGATGACGCTGCAAATGAGCAGTTACAGACGATGTACCGATCGCGAGCAGGTCACGCATCTGATGTATCTAGAAAGTTGAGAGAGTATATTACGTCGGTGTCTGCGCGGGCTACTATCGAAGAAACCAGTAACAAGTTGGACCGTTTGAGTATTGCCTTTCATAAGTTTGAGCAGTCTCACCTGCAGTATGTAAACCTAGCTGCCGGTAGAGAACCCGATAGGGTGACATATTGTGAAATGCACTTTGTAGACGTGTCATTGGAGATAAGTGTTGCCAGGGAAAGTGAGGCAAAGCGACGCGAACAGGAAATGCTTACTTGCACTGATGACGTGTTGCCCCGTGATAGTGCTTCGCAGCAAGGGTCTACGCGATGTCGAGTACGTCAAGCGCCCGAGCGAAAAGCCACGGCTAAGCGTGCAGCTTTAGAGGTCAAATCCCGGTATTTGAAACAGCAGTTGGACATCGAATATCAGCAGCTCGACTTGAGAATGAAGCAAAGCCAGGCTGAATTGAAGCTAAGAGATCTTGAAATGGAAGGTGAGCTCAAGGCTGCAGCCGTCGAGGAGGAAACATTAGCGAGATATGAGAGTGAGGGCATGGGAGATGATGTGCGTGACATAAGTGCACGCAAATCCGTGCCGCATTTCATTGTGGAGAACGTGCACCAACCAGTTGTTCCCACCGACATTCCACATGTTTCGTCGGGTGACGCGAACGGTGTATTGCACACGAGTCAGTTGCCGGCTAAAGCGGATGCGAGTGCACACGTACTTAATCCATCGGCTTCGGAGTGGACAAGTACTGCCGCCCCCGCACATGTGAACCCAAGCCTTGATAGTGTGACCATGCCTACCCCGGAGGTGAATCTTATGATACAGCGTCAACTATTGGACGTGGTTAGTCTCCCCAAGACTAGTCTCATGACATTTGATGGTAATCCTATGGACTACTGGGTTTTCATGAATTCATTCGATAGCTGCGTTGGGCAGGCCACTGTAGGTGACGGGGTCAAGCTAAACAGATTATTAGAGTACTGTACAGGCAAAGCTGCCAATGCCATCAGACCATGTGCTATGATGAGCCCCGTAGAAGGCTATGCTAAAGCCAGACAGCTGCTAAAACAACGTTTTGGAGACGATTACATGATATCCGAGGCATGGGTACGCAAGATGACTGAAGGTCCTCCTATTCGAACCAACAGCGGGGAAGCTATTCGCGATCTCACTGATGACATAAGAGGGTGCATGGAGGCGTTACGAGCTATGGACAAATTTGAAGAGATCGATTCTAGGTGTCGTATGGTCAAGATAGTACACAGGCTACCTCAGTACATCCAAAATAGGTGGCGCACGGAGGCAGTCCGTACGGTCGAGAAAACGCACAAGTATCCAGACATAATGCGTCTGGTAACATTTCTTGAGACCGTCGCGCGAGAAATGCTCGATCCTGTGTATGGGTCCGTCGACGACAAGCCGAGAGAGTACATGAAAGTACAGTCAGGCACACAGCGAAAGAGCGGCTCGTGCTACAATGTCCAAGCATCGCAGAACTCCACTATAGGTAATTCAAGTGATCCGAAACGCCAAGCACAAGCTAGAAGTGTTTCCTGTGCAACAATGATATCTCATGACAACCTGTAAAGTGTTTCTGGAGATGTCGCCACAAAAGAGGCTCGACGCTGTCCGTGAGAAGCGATTGTGCTTTAACTGTCTGCAGTTCAGGAACCACACGGCAAAGATGTGCAAGTTCCCAGCTAGGTGTGGTGTCAACAACTGCACTGGTAAACATTCTAAGTTGCTGCACGCAGCATTGTCAGCAGCTAGAGACAAGGTATCATATTCGCAGAGCTCTGATACCGTAGAACGTAGACAAGATCGTGAAGAGGCTCAGGTGAAACAGGTGAAAGGTGACAGTTTTGCATGTGGTGGTAGTGCCGTAAAGATGGTTTCCCTTCCGATTGTGACTATTTATGTGAAAGGGATAGGACAGGATGAGTATATCCAGACTAATGCATTACTTGACTCTGGAAGCAACAGAACGTTTTGTTCTAAGGAGCTGATTGAGCAGTTGGGAGTCAAGGGGAAGCAGACTACTCTTTCGCTGCAGACGCTGAACGAAGGAAAGATACAGGCT